AAACCCTAAACCTTAAAACCCTATACCCTAAAACCCTGAACCCTAAACCCAAGTCCCAAAGTCCTGATGCCCCACACCCGAAAGCCGAAGCCTGAAGCCTTTAAGTTTCACGAAAGCCCCAAACCCTATAAGGCCTATGAGCCCTATATTGCCCTTTAAGCCATAAACCCTATAAACCCTATAAGCCCTGAACCCTAAAAACCATATAAGCCCTATAAGCCCAATAAGCCCAATAAGTCCTAAACCCTGGAACACTAGATGGTGCAGATGACGCGATGGGTGGTGCAGCTGATGGAGCGTGAGACCGACGTTTCACCTAGGGGAGGGCCTGAACGGCCAGCGCGCGTGCGGAGGGAGTTAGCACATGTCCACTAAAAAAACCTACGCCCTAAACCCTATAAGCCCTATAAGCCCCATAAGCCGTAGCCCTATAAGCCAAAACAAGCCCTATAAGCCCTCTAAGCCCCATAAGCCCTAGCCCTATAAGCCAAAATAAGCCCTATAAGCCCCATAAGCCCTATAAGCCCTATAAGCCCGACAAGCCCTAAACCCTCAACCCTAAGCTGTGGGCACGCGCGGAGAACTCTCAGGTGCCCTGAGCCAGACTGGCGCCAGCAGCTTGCACGGCATTTGCGGTTTAGGGTTTAGGGTTTAGGGTTTAGGGTTTAGGGTCGCGGGTTTCGGGCTTAGGTGTTCTTGTAGGAAAGCTTGTTCTTCGGGGTTTTTCGGCGTCAGAGGTTCTTGAGCCCAGATTTGTCGGGGATTCGGGGGAACGGTTTGGATGCCGGGTTGGGTGGAGCTTTAGGCTTAGCCCAAACCCCCGAACTCTTCACAAACCCTAAACCGTAAATCCTGTAAATCCGAAACGCTACTCCTTGTAGATGAGGTCAGCCAGCGGACGCCCGAGCAGATGCCTCAGACCCCTCGAGGTTCATGCGGCGCAGCTACTGGGAGGACAAGCCGCACGCATGGGAGTGTCAGAGCCGTAAACCCTAAACCCTAAACCCTAGGAATTATTTGCAAGTCTCCCGCTTTGGTCCCCATAGAGCTACAGAATGACAGGAAGCAAACCCGGATTCTCCTCGTCTTACGGCCCCCATTATCAGACCTTCTTTTGCAGGAGTATCATGAGAACAGCGACCTTTCTCATGCTTCCCGCCAGCAGCTGGGAATATGAAGGGCTTAGCGAAACTTTGTGCCTTCCTGTTTGGGTTCCTTCCGAAGCCCTCTTCAATAAGCGCCATGAACCCTAAACCCTAAACCCGAAACCCTAAACCCTTTTTAGCACGCCTGAAGCAGACCTAGAGCTGCAAAGCCTGAGTCTTAACCCAGACCAATGGCGGTAACTTAAAAGTCCCCTCAAACTACCATGGAACACTAAATGCTGCTGACGCATTCAAAGGACCGTTGTCCGGAACCGTCTCTCTTTCGGATTACGTGTGAGTCATGTGAGTCCTGGGGAGTGTAGCATCTTCCCTCAGGAGTGGTTCCTGGAGCCAAGCAAGTGCTTGGAGGCACGGCATGCGCTTTTGGGCATAGGAGGTTTTGGCCGCCCGATCCGAAATCCGAAGTACTCAACCTCAAATCTTCTTGTCGCTCGTCCTTTGAAACCTTGACCCCTTAAAAAGCACCGAAAAGCGTTCAGCCCTTACTTCAAGCCAAAACGACATCTCTCAACCTCAGCCCTTCAAGCATCACTAAGCGCCTAGACCGTGAACTGGCAGGTGCTGCTGCCCACAGTCCAGACTGTCTGTGCTTCGCAGAGTTCCTCGACAAAGGACCGGTGCGCAAGGTGGCGCTTGGGAGTTGGGGTTTGGGAGGTTTACTGTGTAGGGCTTACAGTCGGGTGTAGAGCTCATCATCATCATCATCATCATCGTCATCACCACGGTCATCATCATCACCATCATCATCATCAGCAGCAGCATGGAAATGCTAACGGATGTTGAGGGTGAGCAGAGCCTGACAGTTGAAGCCATGATTGTGCGCTTGCCGCCGGGCCAGTGGCTGCAGCACACGACAGCATCACCAAGGTGCAGAGTGAGGTTTTAGTGAAGGGTGCCAGGATACGGGATTCAGGTTCAGAGAGCTTAGAAACTGAGCTCTGCGGGTTGATGTAGGGTTTGCAGTTCTTGAACCCTAACTCCTCAACCCCAAACCCTGAAAATGTGAAACCCTCAACCCTAAACCCTAAACCCCAAACCCCAAACCCTAAACCCCCTAAACCCCAAACCCTAAAGCCCAAAGCCTAAACCCCAAACCCCAAACCCTAACTTCTCAAGCCGGAGGATCGAGACGCTGTGCGCGCACTGCACATCGGATGTGGGACCAGTACGCTGGGTATCGAGCTGGCGAGGAGACCGGGTTCAGGTGGGGTGTAATATAGTAGAAGCCCAAAAACTGGAAACCCTTTAGCCTCAATCCTTAAGAGTAAGGTATAGGGAATCCCAGCACTATTTGTCCTTAATGCGCTTTCCAACTTTTTGGGGTTTACTATAGTATGAGTCTACAGGATTATACAACCCTAGTACTCCATACCTCAGAACCCCACTCGAGCTAAAAAGTCGCCTTTTTCGGGGCAAATATTCATGTCCCTTCTTCGTGAAATCGAAAGCCTGATGAGTCAAAGCGTTTGTTTTGTGGCGGGCCCTGAACCGACAACCCTGGGGTTTCCGGAAGCCGTCGCTCCCGCGGATAAGGATTTCTAGCAGGGTTTGGGGTTTAGAGGTGCAGGGGTCTTCGCCGCGACTTCAAGAGGAAGTACAATAGCACTGGGCCTAGCATGCAGTTAAAGCAGCGGCGTTGGTGAGCTTCTCAATCCATCAGGAGCAGCCTGACAATGAAGTCCAGCTTGCATGTCTCGAATGTGGACTTCAGCAAGAACGCGATCGAGGACGGGACGGGTGGCATTGTTGAGGAGGTGTCTGTGCTGGACTTTCGGGGGCTAGGGCGATGCAGAGGTCTGTAGTAGCACTGCTCGTGCTGTTGCAGCTGCCACTGCTACAGCTATAGTTCCTGCTCCTAGTGTTGTTGCTGTTGGTGCTGCTGCTCTTCCTGCTCCTGCTGCTGGCTGCTAGTGCTGCTGCCGCTGCTGATACTCCTGCTTGTGGTACTGCTCCTGCTACTGCTCCTGCTACTCCACTTACCAGGACGACGACGAGTGACGAGACAGCATGACAGTCATGTGTTGAGGGCTTGCACTTCACGGTTCCGCAGGCGATGCGCACATCGAGATCGCAGAGCCCGGACGCAGCAGCCACCCTGAATGAGCCCGGGGTCTTGGCATTCACGCAGCAGCCGGTGGTAAACTCTTAAGCTCACACCCTAAAGCCGAAAGCTAGAACCTGAACCGAGGTGGTTTCTCGCAGACCTCTTAAGCCTGCCGTTCGAGAATTGCCACTTCGACCTGATATTGGACAAGGCTCGGTAGCTTCGAGATTCCCCCTCTAGGATTTTGAGTGTCATGTACGCGCTTTCAGTTGCATAAACAAGCATCCGAAAAAAACTCATGGTGCATGTTGCTACTGGCACTGGCCGTCGTTGCTGCCGGTCAGGCTTCAGGAATTCTGCAGGCCAACATTGTCTTATGTCTTTGCGACCAGGGCACCTTTGATGCCTTCGAAGCAAGTGATGCGGGCCGGCGTCAGGACCAAGCAGGCGCGAACAGAAAGCATCCTATCGCACGTGTTCAATGCTCACCAAGCCCAAAGCATACCTCCTGCGTCGACGAGTACCACGACCACACTAGCACTACCACTACGACGGCTAATTACCAATTGCCGGTCCCATTCCTCCTCGTCGTCCTCCTCCTCTTCCTCCTACTACTACTACTACTACTACTACTACTACTACCACTACACTGCTACTACGACTACCATTACCACTACCACTGCCAC